AGGGCATGTACCTTGGTTGCGGGCACATCCCCAGTAGGGGGTGTGCAAGAGGCAGCTGATCGATGACTCTCATCGATGTTTCTAACTCTCTATCTCTCTCCCTTCCTCTCTGTACAAAATCAATAAAATATATTAAAAAACAAACAAACAAACAAACAAAAAACCTTCGGTGTATATTAAAAGACACAACTAACAAAACCTTAAGGAGATAGCATTTTATGGTTCAAAAAAGAACAAAACACATTCTAAAGAACACGGCTTAAAGTTTGCCTTAAACGATATTCTATAAAATACCCTCAAATCACAGCAACTCTTAACATGCACAACCGCTTTACCTGAGCGTCCGGCACTTCTTTCTCTCGCATCTGCAGGAACTGGGAGCGGAACACCTGCCAGCTTCAGGGTAAAGATAACCGCGGTGAGGGCTCCGCTCCGACCGCCAGCCCGCTCACCGCCCACCCCGGGGCGCCCAGCGCCTCCCGCCTACCTGCGCGCCCCGCCGCCGCACCCGGGGCGGGGGCAGGCGAACACGTGCAGCAGCCGGTGGAACGAGGAGCCCTCCAGCGGGCAGTACACCTGCACCACCAAGGCCAGCGGCTGCTGGCAAGGTTCACACACTGGCCTCGGCGCTGCTACCGCGGGCAGGGCGTCCTAGGGGCGGGGGGGGGGGGGGGGCGGCGCTCAGACCCGGACCGTGCCCGGGACGAGCCCACCCCCTCACCCCGCACCAGCACCCGCCGACCCGACTCCGGCGCCCCACCTCACCGGAAGGCCGCCCAGCTTGCTAGCAGTCCAGGCGCCTGGCCCTGAGGGGCAGCCGCGCACCGCTGCGTCTGGAAGACCGAGCAGTACTGGCTTGGGGACGGCCGCCATGACGACAGGGCACCCACGTGGAAAGAGGAGCTACGGAAGCCCGGAAGGTGCGCCCCGCTGCGCACGCACCGCCTACATCATCGAGCCGGCCCCGCCCCCTAAAAGGCCCTGCCCCTTCCTGAGGGTGCTGGGGACTGCTGCTGTGCAGGGCTCAAAACCGGGAGCCCAGGCGTTTATGTGCCTCCAAATGCACTGCACTAGGAGGTACGCACACTTATGAAGTGATATTTCCATAAAGTTTTACCTGAAATAAGCGAGATAATAATATTATGGCTAATAAGAAAAAATAAAGTTCGTAATTTTAAAAAATACTTTTTTTTTTTTTTTTTAACAGAGGAAGGGAGGATAGAGTTAGAAACGTAGATGAGAGGAAAATATCAGCTGCCTCTTGCACGCCCCCTACTGGAGATGTGCCCGCAACCAAGGTACATGCCCCTGACCAGAATCGAACCTGGGACCCTTCAATCCGCAGGCGGACATTATCCACTGAGTAAAACCGGCCAGGGCAAAGTCCGTAATTTTTAGAGATACACATAAAAATGCTTATAGATGAAAGGATGTATCTGAGATTTGCCAAAACATGATGAAGGGGTAGATGAATAAGGTCATGAGTTGGTAATTACTGAAATTTGGTGTCAGGTACGTGGAGGTCTTCTATACTGTTTGTTATAGTTTGAAGTTTTCCAAAATACAGTTTTTTAAATGCACAACCTAGGTGAACTTGTGCAAGAAGCCAGACACAAAAGGCCGCATTCTGAAAAAGGTGAACTTTAAAGATAAAGAAATCAGACCACTGATTGCCAGGATTTGTTCCGGTGGCAGATAGAAAGATATGAGCTGGGAGAGGCGGCTGGGGCTTGGAGGAAGTAAGTGCCAGACCTGACAAGCTGAAAATAAACAATGGAGGTGGCAGGCCTTTATGTGAGCAGGAAAGATTCAGACCTCTCCAGGATGAGGTCTAACTGATGGCATAACAACTAGACGAAGGAGTCTTATAACTTAAAGATACATTTTGTGTGTGTGTGTGTAAGGGGGATGGGGAATAAGGGAAGGGAAGACTTACCAAGGGGCACTCCAGTCTAGGGATATAAATATCCCAAACCCCACCCAGGCAGGACATTCGGTTCCGTTTTAGCCAGCTTAGTTGCCAGCTCAGGTCCTCTCTGAGTGTATTGCTTTCCTACAAATAATTCCCTGCCTTGCCCTAACCGGTTTGGCTCAGTGGATAGAGGTCGGCCTGTGGACTGAAAGGTCCCAGATTTGATTCTGGTCAAGGGCATGTACCTTGGTTGCGGGCACATCTCCAGTAGGGGGTGTGCAGGAGACAGCTGATCAATGTTTCTCATCAATGTTTCTAACTCTCTATCCCTCTCCCTTCCTCTCTGTAAAAACTCAATAAAATATATTAAGAAAATAAAAAATAATTCCCTGCCTGTTTCTGCTGTCTTGTGTTGAATTTATTTGTACAAGTGAGATGAAAACAGGAGATGCAGAGGACTGTCTCTGGCCAGAGACCCCCTTGTCCACTGCTGACACGTTAATCACAAACGGGTCCCAGGAACTACTTTGGGTGGTGAAATGCTATATATCTCAACTGTGTGGTTAAATGACTGTATACATTTGTAAAAATTCAGAACTGTACACCAGAGGAAGGTGAATCCTACCTAATAAAAGAGCAATATGCAAATTATCCATCACTCAGATACACCCACAAACCACACCCACCAGCCAATCAGAGCAATTATGCAAATAAACCCAACCAAGATGGCTACAGCCACAGAGAGCAGGAGGGAGGCTTGGGTTTCCCAGGCAACAGAAGCAGCCAAGCTTTCCACCTGCCCTTGCCAGCCTAAGCCTCCACTCAAGACTACAAAGTTTCAATTATAGAAGATAAACAAATCCAAACAAAAATGGCTGCCAACCATGGATGGAGCAGGAGGCTTGGTTCTGCTCCATGCTACAAAGTTTAATTGTAGAAGGTAAATAAATCCCAGATACCAGGGCCTCCACTCAGGTCACCAGAGGGCAGTTCGGAGGCACCAGGCCTGCAAGGGAGGGCAGTTGAGAGGGACCAGACCTGCAAGGAAGGGCAGTTGAAGGCAAATAACCCTGCAGGGGAGGGCTGTTATGGGTGACCAGGCCGGCAGAGGAGGGAAATTGGGGGCAAACAGGCTGGTAGGGGAGCAGTTAGACATCAATCAGAATGGCATGGGAGTGGTTAAGGGGTGATCAGGCTGGAAGGCAGAAGCAGTTAGGGGCAATCAGGAAGGCAGGCAGGCAAGTACAATAGTTGGGAGCCAGCAGTCCTGGATTGTGAGAGAGATGTCTGATTGCCCCTTGAGGGGTCCCATTTTGGAGAGGGTGCAGGCTGGGCATGAATTTCGTGCACTGGGCCTCTATTTTTACTATATGTAAATTATATCTCAATAAACCTGACTTTAAAAAAAATGCATGTTACAAAAGCACTATCTCAGACTTCATATCAGGGTGCAAAAGAAATTAATGTTTTCCAACTCTAAGACCATGTGGATTCCTGCAATAGAGAGGAATTGACAGGACTGCTCTAGCCATGAAGACAGAAGAGAAACAGTCCAGATATGGAAGATGCTGACAATGCCTTGCCATACTAGCAGACAGCAGCTGTGCATCGCTGAAGGATGCCCAGGACCAAACCAGAGACAGTCGGACCTGCATCACCACCATTTGTCCACCATCCAGAACTGAAATATCATTACTAACATCTATACACAAGGAACTGTTTGACATTGAAATTGGGACTCAAAAGAACTGTTAGCCCAGAAAGAAACTCACTACAGACTGATTCATATGCTTTCAGCATAACCATTATGGCTTGTCTCATTTTCAGTTCTTATGTATTTCTTGTATCACATGATCTCATGCATCTAGGGGAAATAATGAACAACATAAACTGATGAACAAGGTCAGACCCGGAGACGGGGAAGCATCTATCAGATTGTTGGACATCAGAGGGAAGGTAGAAAAAGAAACCTACTTCACTAATAGAAAGATGTCGACAATATTCAAGTGGACATTTGCACCTGTATGATCACTTTCTAGAATTAGGGTATTCTTCACTGAGACTTTGGGAGTAGTTTGCCTTCTTACAGGAGCAAAAAATATGAATTGTGGCTTTCCTGTCTTAAGGCATGTGACCAAGCTGAGGACAACGCAGAGTTGAGTGACCCAGGAGGGAGTGGGGTAACAGCAGTCCAGTAACAGGGTCCAAGGCAGAAGGTTCCCAGTCTGGGTTTTCACATTCTGGTCTAGAGTGTATATCCTGAATGCTAGCCTCTAGCCTGCCCAAAAACTGTGCCCCTCACTCTTTAAGGTTCCTCTTCCGCTTAATTAATCAGACATAATATTTAGTATTTTGAATAAAAGACTAGTTTGCTCAAAAATCCTCTTTTCAATGTCTACCTTATAGAAGGAAAGAATTACCTGGGCATTTGCCAGGTAATGGTAGTCACCCTTACTTTGGGCCAGGAATTTACCCAAAACAGATATAATCTCAATGTGGTTTGTAAAGTCATTAGTGAACACAAATATACAATTCATCAAAAGTCACAATGGTGCCGAAGCTGGTTTTGCTCAGTGGATAAAGCGTTGGCCTGTGGACTGAAAGGTCCCAGGTTCGATTCCGATCAAGGGCATGTGCCTTGGGTGCGGGCACATCTCCAGTGGGGTGTGCGCAGGAGACAGCTGATTGATGTTTCTTTCTCATCGATGTTTCTTAACTCTCTATCCCTCTTACCTTCCTCTCTGTAAAAAATCAACATGTTAAAAAAAAAATTTCACAATGCCAAGACCAGTTTGGCTTAGTGGATAGAGCGTCGGCCTGCGGACTGGAAGGTTTGATTCCGGTCAAGGGCATGTACCTTGGTAGGGGGTGTGCAAGAGGCAGCTGATCGATGATTCTCTCTCATCGAAGTTTCTAAATCTCTATCCCTCTCTCTTCCTCTCTGTAAAAAAAATCAATATAAGATATTTAAAAACAGAAATTCACAAGGGTGAGCAGTAGAAGATGAAGAATACGTCACTCTTCCTACAGGTGCTCTTACTCCTGCAGAAAGCACCATCTCAGGAAACAAGAGGCTGAGCTTACAATCTCCTTTGTGGCATCTTTATTTTTTTCACCTGGTACATGAACAATGTAAATGTGGGTCAAAAAGCAGCTGCACTGAAACACTTCAACTAATTGTAAAACAGAGGGGTGTGGACACAGAGGGTGGGGGTGACATTTCCAGACCAGCTTACTGGGCTTGTGGTCTAAGCCCGTGACCAGAGGGTGTTCTGGGCAGGACCAGGCAGTGCAGACTCTGGTGAGGAGGGACAAGGACAACAGGGACTGCAGCCCAGCAGGAGTTTATTAGCTCCTGGCGGTACACTCCTGCTTGATGAAGTTGATCAGCCCGTTGGTGGAAGAATCATGAGAGGTCACTGGGTTGCTGCCATCCAGCTCAGGCTCAATTTGCTTAGCCAGCTGCTTTCCCAGCTCCACTCTGCCAGGAAGAGGAGGAAGAATTGTATGAGGAGGTTCCAGTATTGCTCCTGAAATCCACAAGCATACCCCCCTCTCCTTGATCAGTAACTCACCCCCATTGGTCAAAGCTGTTGATGTCCCAGATGATTCCCTGAACGAAGATCTTGTGCTCATACATGGCTGCAGAGGCGGCAGATGTGCACATTTAGGACTCTCCCAGCCCAGTACAACTTACCCCAAGCCGGGCCTGCCCCACTCACTTACCGATCAAGGCTCCAAGAATGAATGGTGTGAGCTTGGTAAACATGATAGAGTTGGTTGGACGATTTCCTTCAAAGACCTTCAGAAAACACCCGGGAACAGCCCCCAGTTAGCTGTGATCCCTAAGTCCTCAGAAGGGAAGCCACCTTGCCCCAGAAGCAGGGATATGTAGGTCTTTTAGGATGGTCCCTCCTACTGTGTAGGACAAGCCTTGGCCCCACAACTTGATCCCTCCAACTCCAATATGCCACCTAAACCCACTTCAAAAGTGCTTACCTTGTGTGGCAACAGCTTCTCCAAGTCCCCTGTGCTCTTTCCTGCGGCCTGGAGCTCCTTCCGAGCCTCCTCTGTCGACTTCCCTCTCATCAGGGCTTCAGTCTGGGCCAAGAAGTTGGCCAGGAGGATCTGATGAGAGAGACATCACATTCTGCTTGGAAGCACTGCCCGAGCTTCAGGCAGAGGGATGAGACCACTTGGAACTTACCAGTCACAGTTAATCCCAACATGGGCCAGAGGGCCATCCCCACTCTAGAGCTCAGCTGGAGCCCAGGGGGACAGCAAGCACATCTGACGACACCAGAAAGTAGGTAACTATCCAGGAATATGGACTACTTGCCAAGGGCCCTGCTAAGAACTTAAATGACACCTACAAAGATTCCCAGGAGGAAAGGCATCATCTCTCTTGAGTGGGAGCCTCAATTTCTTCAAGTGAACAGCACTGATTCGCAGAAATACAAGGGGAAGAATCAGAATTCAAACCCAGGCCTCTGGGTCCAAACCTGGTGCCCACAGTAATCCATGCTAATCTGGATACCCAAGGTGAGGTATGAACGATCCTCTTAAAGGACTTTATCAGGTTAAGATTTAGATGATTTCCCCATTTGCTACCATGTAGGCAAGATCTTGGCTCTGTGATTTTTTTACCTCCTGATGTTACACCTGTGTATGTCACATTACATAGCAAAAAGGATTTTTAAAAAATATATTTTATTGATTTTTTTTTTTTTACAGAGATGTAGGGAAAGACATAGTTAGAAACATCGATCAGCTGCCTCCTGCACCCCCTCCCCACCACTGGGGACATGCCCACAACCAAGGTACATGTGCCCTGATCAGAATCAAACCCAGGACCCTTCAGTCCACATGCAGACGCTCTATCCACTGAGGTTAGGGTGGCAAAAAGGACTTTACAGATGGAACTAAGGTCACAGCACGACTGGTGTGGCTCAACAGTTGAATGTTGACCTATGAACCAGGAGGTCACAGTTTGATTCAGTCAGGGCACATGCCTGGGTTGTGGGCTCAATCTCCAGGCAGGGGTATGTAGAAGGCAGCCAATGAATGTTTCTCTCTCATCATTAATATTTCTATCTCTTCCTCTCCTTCTCCCTTCCTCTCTGAAAGCAATAAAAATCCTATCTAATAAAGAGGGAATACGCTAATTGACCCTCATGCCATCACAAAGATGGTGGCGCAAACAGCCAATAAGGAGGGAAATGCTAACTGACTGCCCCGCCCTCAAAGAAGGTGGTGCCCACAGCCACAAGATGGCAGTGTCCAGTACCCTCAGCCCAACCAGCACACCTGCCTCCAGAGTCCCCCAGTCCTCTCAGCCCCCCAGCTGCCCAGGGCCAGCCTGAGGCACAGGCAAGCCTTGGATGGCGGCTTCCCAGCTGCCCAGGACTGACTTGAGGCACAGGTAAGCCTCAGCTGTCCAGCTGCCCAGGCCGCCTGAGGCTCAGATAACCAGGGCCACTGAGGCTTGTGGTGCTGGCAGTGGTAGTAGCAGAGGTGTGATGAGAGCATCAACCTTCCCCTGATCACCGGTCATCTTGCCCCTGAGGGCTCCCGGACTGTGAGAGGGGGCAGGCTGGACTGGGGAGCCACCCCCACTCCAGTGCACGAATTTTCATGCACCGGGACTCCAGTATACTTATTAAAAAGAAAAAAAAAATTAAGGTCACAGATCTTAAAGATCTAGAGATTATGCAGGTGGGCCCACTGGGCACTTAAAAGTAGAAGAGGATGCCGAAACCAGTTTGGCTCAGTGGATAGAGCGTCGGCCTGCGAACTGAAGGGTCCCGGGTTCGATTCCGGTCAAGGGCATGTACCTTGGTTGCGGGTGCATTCCCAGTGGGGAGTGTGCAAGAGGCAGCTGGTCGATGTTTCTCTCTCATTGATGTTTCTAATTCTCTATCCCTCTCTGTTTCTCTCTGTAAAAAATCAATAAAATAAAAAAAAAATAAAATAAAAAAAAGTAGTGACCCTGAAACCCCGTCCCATCTGTAACTGTGAAATGGGACAACAAAATAGATCACAAACGAAAGAAATGGAGGACAAAAAGCGTCTGGATATAGAATTCAAATCTACGCTTATAAGGTTTTTCAAGAATTTCCTAGAAAAGATGGATAAGGCCTATGAGGATATGAAAAGAGATCAACTAGAATTAATAAGGAGTCATCGAGAAATGATAAGGGATCAACAAGAAATAAAGACTACATTGTCTGAAATAAAAAATATTTTACAGAGTCCTAAAAACAGAAGGGAAGATCACAAGAATCAAGTCAAAGATTTGGAACATAAAGAGCCAGAAGACACTCCTCCACAGAAGCTAGAAGGCAAGAGAATCCAGAAAATTGAAGATAATGTAAGAAACCTCTGGGACAACTTCAGGCGAACCAACATCAGAATTATGGGGGTCCCAGAAGATGAGAGAGAGCAAGATATCAAAAACATACTGAAAGAAATAGTGACAGAAAACTTCCCCCACCTGGTGAAAGAATTAGACTTACAAGTCCAGGAAGCGCACAGAACTCCAAACAAAAGGAATCCAAAGAGGACCACACCGAGACACATCATTATTAAAATTCCAAGAGCAAAAGACAAAGAGAGAATATTAAAAGAAGCAAGAGCAAAGAAGGTAGTAATCTATAAAGGAGCACCTATACGATTGTCAGCTGACTTCTCAACAGAAACCATGCAGGCCAGAAGGAAATGGCAAGAAATATTCAAGGTGATGAATAGCAAGAACGTACAGCCAAAAATAATCTACCCAGCAAAGCTATCACTCAGAATCAAAGGCCAGATAAAGAGCTTCACTAATAAAAAAAAGCTAAAGGAGTTCATCACCGCCAAACCAGAATTATATGAATTGCTGAAGGGGGTTCTTTCAGAAGAGAAAGTAAACAAAGATAAAAATTATGAACAACAAATATGTAACTATCAACAAGTGAATCTAAAAACCAAGGAAATTTAAAAAATCTGATGAACAATATTAACTATTGAATATAATAGAATCAGAGGTATGGAAGGGGAGTGAACTGACGATTCTTGGGGAAAAGGGGAGAGGGGGGCGTGGGAAGAGACTGAACATAAACTGTGCACCTATGGATGAGGACAATGGGGAGAGGGGAAAGGGCAGAGGGTGGGGTGGGAACCTGGTGGAGGAGAGCAATGGTGGGGGGGGGGGAAGGAACATTTGTAATAATATGAACAATAAAAACTTATGAAAAAAAAAAAAAAAGTAGAAGAGGAAGGCAAATGAGTCAGTCATAGAGATGCAACAGAAGAGAATCAAAGCTTGAGAGGGTCTCAACCCACTATTGCTGATTCTGGGATGGAGGGGACACGAGCCAAGGTGGCTTCTAGAAGCCGAGAATGACCCCCGGCCACCAGCCAGCAAGGAAACTGGACCTTGGTTCTAACCTGAGCAGAGAGCCAGGAGAGCCTGGTGGACTTCAGACCCAAGAAACCAAGATAACAAATGGATGCGGTTTTAAGCCACTAAGCGTGTGGTCATTTGTCATGGCAGGAATAGAAATCTAGTCTAACTGCCGATGGATGCGTCCAGTCTTACGAGGTCTGGTTGTAGCGTGAGCCTAGGAAAGCGCGAGGGGGGTCTGGAGGGGGCTCTTACCTTGTGATGCAGACCCTTCCTTATTGGGTGCTGGCTCTGAACCGGGATGAGGAAGTCACAAGGTATCATCTTGGTGCCTGTGAACAGCACTGTGGTCACTCAGGCACTACTCCAGCCCACAGGGGGCAGCACCGACCAATGGAGAGATCTGAGCTGGTGGGCCCACTCCCTCCCAGGCCAGGTGGGCCCTACCTTGGTGGATGAGCTGGTAGAAGGCATGCTGGCCATTGGTCCCTGGCTCCCCCCACACAATGGGGCCCGTCTGGTGGTCCACACGGATGCCGGACTTGGTGATGTACTTCCCATTGGACTCCATGTCACCCTGAAATGTGGACAGAAACCAGCCCTCTCTCTGCAAGTGCTGCTCCCTCATACCCAAATCCTGCCCTGCCCTGGCCCTGAGAGATATCTACAGGCATGATCCTTTCATCTTCCTTCACCCGTGAAGATACAGGACCTCAAGCTTCCTAGCTTAGGCCACTCTGCAGGAAGGAGCCATGACTAGGAGAAAGTGGGTATGAAGGTTCCAGGAAGAACTCCCTAAGGGAAGAAATTGGGTCACAAAATCTTCAACTGGTTTCTTAAGGGAGAAGCAGGCTGGCGCCCAGAGTGAGGAGCCTTTGAGGGCTGTCACCCAAACGGACACTGGGCTTTGGGACGTCTTGGCCCTCCTTCAAGCACGGGAGTCACTGTAGGTGCTGGTGAGTCTGCTGTGCCTGCCCAAGGGCTACCAGGCAGGAACTGGGTCTGTGCTTAAGACAAACAGGGACAGCTGAGGAAGGGCTGCCTGCCCAGAGCGGAGGCTGGACTAGGGGAGGGGCTCTGGAGATTCGGGGGGGTGGGGGTGGGCAGAGGGCTGTGAGTAGCCCAAAGAGGCACCACAAACTGGGTGTGACTTGCTTTTCTGGAGGGACAAAGGGAGTAGAAACCATAGGGGTCCTGACCTGTGGCCCCACCCCATCGCAGGCACACAGAGTGATGTCCAAGAGAAACCACCCAGCTGAGAAACATGCCCTGAGCCAAGCCAGGACTTAACTGGCTAGTCATGCCCCCCCATGGAAATCAAGCGTGGCTAACACTCAGCTCAAACAGATCCTGGATGCAAAGATTCACCCTGAGATGGGGAGCAGAGGTGGGCCTTGGTCATGCCCAGGGGTAATGGATATGCAGGAAGCTGGGTATCTGGACTCAGGCCTCTCAGGCCCCCCAAAGGCTATGCTGACCCCAAGGCCTGGCCTGGCAGCTCGTACCTGCTGGAAGTAGGCTGCAAAGCGGTGCAGGTACTGGTCATAGGGCAGCATGGCATGTGTCTCACACCCAAAGCAGTTGATGTACCAGACACCCAGCAAAGCCAGCAGGACGGGGGCGTTCTTCTCCAGGGGCGTCTTGCGGAAGTGCTGATCCTGAAATGAGAGCAGGGTGGATGGGCGCTGAGCAGCTGCCAGGGATGGGAGGGAGGAAGGGGAAGGGACGGGGGCGGGGGGAACAAGGGAGGAGGAAGAGGAGGGGAGGAGAGAAGGGGAGGAGAGGGGGAAGGGGAGGGAGCTGGGCCACTGCTTGGCAGAGAACACAAGCCTCCGCACTTACCATCCAGTGAGCCCCAGAGAGCAGCTGCTCGAAGTTGTCAAATCCTGTGACACAAAAGCAGCATCAACAGAAGTGGTCATGCCCTAAGCCCTCCTGGCAGTGGGCGCAGCTTCTTCTGGAACCAGGGAAAGGCTAGATGGGGAGCCAGGAGGAGGAACTGGGCCTGCGGGAAGCCTCTCTTGTTGGATCAGCTCTGAGCGCAAAGATGGATCTAACGCCTCACAGGAGAAACGAGGCTTCCCCAACCCCCTGGGAAACAAGCAGGACTGCAGCTGTGAGGGCAGAGAGAAAGGCCAACCTGCAAACCCAAAGAAAACTCGGTCCCTCCCTCTTGACCTGAAAGACATATACCAGCCAAGGGCAGCAAGGCCAGGGGCCAGTGGGCACAGGAAGGTGCTCAGTGACACGAGCACCCCACAACCTTAGACTTTCAACATCATCTCCCAAGACAGAAACACTCACTCACCCACATGCAGGGCGATGGAGAGTCCAATGGCTGACCACAGCGAGTAGCGTCCTCCTACCCACTGAGAGAGACAGGAAATGGTGCTGAGGAAGGGTTGGCACACCTGCCCCCTCCCTCCTGCCACAAAACTTGCCCCCCCCCCCCCCCCCAATCAATGCTCTTCCACAGGTGCAGCTCAGAGGGCTGGGGCCCAACCCACCTCCGGTCAGGTGCTGAGACTGATGAGAGCCCGAAGACTCAATCAGAGACCTTACCAGAGCTGGCCCCGTCTCCTCAGACACCGAAAGACCCAGCGCCTCATACCTGTGCCTGGTCAGGTCTCCTGAGACACCTACAGATCCAGAACCCCATACCTGTGTCTGGTCAGGCCTCCGCAGACACCCACAGATCTAGAACCCCATACCTGTGCCTGGTCAGGCCCCCTCAGACACCCACAGATCCAGAACCTCATACCTGTGCCTGGTCAGGCCTCCTCAGACACCCACAGATCCAGCACCTCATACCTGTGCCTGGTCAGGCCTCCTCAGACACCCACAGATCCAGAACCTCATACCTGTGCCTGGTCAGGCCTCCTGAGACACCCACAGATCCAGAACCTCATACCTGTGCCTGGTCAGGCCTCCTCAGACACCCACAGATCCAGTGCCTCATACCTGTGCCTGGTCAGGCCTCCTCAGACACCCACAGATCTAGAACCTCATACCTGTGCCTGGTCAGGCCTCCTGAGACACCCACAGATCCAGAACCTCATACCTGTGCCTGGTCAGGCCTTCTGAGACACCCACAGATCTAGAACACCATACCTGTGCAGGCCTCCACAGACATCCACAGATCTAGAACCCCATACCTGGGCCTGGTCAGGCCTCCTGAGACACCCACAGATCCAGCAACTGATACCTGTGCCTGGTCAGGCCCCCTCAGACACCCAAAGATCCAGAGCCTCATACGTGTGCAGGCCTCCACAGACACCCATAGACACCCAGAGATCTAGAACCCCATACCTGTGCCTGGTCAGGCCTTCTCAGACACCCACAGACCCAGCGCCTCATACCTGTGCCTGGTCAGGCCTCCTCAGACACCCACAGATCCAGCACCTCATACCTGTGCCTGGTCAGGCCTCCTGAAACACCCACAGAACTAGTGCCTCATACCTGTGCCTGGTCAGGCCTCCTGAAACACCCACAGAACTAGTGCCTCATACCTGTGCCTGGTCAGGTCTTCTCAGACAGACACCCACAGATCAGCACCTCATACCTGTGCCTGGTCAGGCTCCTGAAACACCCACAGAACTAGTGCCTCATACCTGTGCCTGGTCAGGCCTCCTGAAACACCCACAGAACTAGTGCCTCATACCTGTGCCTGGTCAGGTCTTCTCAGACACACACAGATCCAGAGCCTCATACCTGTGCCCGGTCAGGCCTCCACAGACACCTACAGATCCAGCGCCTCATACCTGTGCCTGGTCAGGCCTCCTCAGACACACACAGATCCAGCGCCTCATACCTGTGCCTGGTCAGGCCTCCTGAGACACCCACAGATCCAGTGCCTCATACCTGTGCCTGGTCAGGCCTCCTGAGACACCCACAGATCCAGTGCCTCATACCTGTGCCTGGTCAGGCCTCCTCAGACACCCACAGATCTAGAGTCTCATACCTGTGCCTGGTCAGGCCTCCTCAGACACCTACAGATCCGGTGTCTCAAACTTGTGCCTGGTTTATCTCCTTGAACACTGACCAACCCAGTGCCTTGTACCTATGCCATGCCTGCATCCTCAGACTAATAGGTTCAGTGCCTCATACCTGTGTCCAGCCTGCTCTTGACACACTCACAGGCCCAGCAGCTCATAGTTGAGCTTCACTGATGGCTTGAGCCTTAGCTCAAGACTCACGAAGGCCTACTATTCCTTCACACTGTGCCTTTTCATGCCATAATACAGATTCTACTTTGTATCATCAGAATCCTCAGAACTTGCCTGGCTGCAGTGGTTCAGTGCACCAAAAGGTTGCTGTTTGATTCCTGGTCAGGGCCCATACCTGGGTTGCAGGTTCATTCCCCAGTTGGGTAATGTACGGAAGGCAACTAGCTAATCAATGTCTCTCTCTCACATCTCTCTCTCTCTCCTTCCCTTCCTTTCTCAAAGATTAAAAAAAAAAATTAGTAAAAGAAATCTGACGGGTGCTTGAGCCTAGCTTTGAAGACAGGCATTGCCCATCAAAGCACCGAGGGAAAAGCACTCCAGCAGCCAGAACAGCAGACGCAAAGGTCCTATGGCAAGAGCAGCTTTTCCTCAATAGTGAGAGAATGAATTCCCACAGAAGATGCTTTGAGTGACTTAACTTCCCACTTATCCCGAGGATAGTTCTTTTACATGCTAAGGACAGATGCTAATTTCATTACATTAAATGGATGCCTCGAAGCATTAAGGCTTAATTCTCTGCTGGAAACCCACTGAAATAGGCTGGCCGGGCGGAAACAGGGCACAATCTAGAAGATGAAAAAAGGAGTGGGGGCTGGAGGGTAGAAGCTGAGAGGCAAGGCTGGAAAATGGAGAAGTCTGGGAGAGTGAAATGGAAACAGGAAGCCACTTAGGACCCCCAGTGGTCATCCAGAGAATGATACTACTCTGGGAATGCAGATTCAGGAGGCTCAATCAAACAGGATGAATTGGGAGAATAAGAGAACCAAGTGGGGCCCAGAGGTCTCTGCCTGGGTAATAAAGAGGGATGGTGGGGGTCTGCACCTGAAGAGGGTCCAGGTTTGGGGGAACCTTATCTGACAGACACAGTTTCACTGGCCACACAATGCCTAACAAAGGCACTCAGATCTCACCAAACAGACTCAATTCTAGATACTGGACTGAGAGCCAAAAAGCCCTGAGACTGACTGATTCCAAGCTGCGAACCTTGGCTAAGGCAGGTCAACAGACCTCACATTTTTGGAAAGCCCAGCAATGTCAGTGTCTGACTTGAGACTCTAAAACCTCAACCTGCAAACACAGGTGTCTAGACCTCATCTGTAGCTACAGTGAGCTTCTTAGACCACATCTTACAGATGTAGCTCCTCAGCCATTCAACATTCTGTGCCTGACCTGTGCTCCTTAGATATTACTTTATCTAATGAGACATAACCCTATCTTTTTCCTCATCTGGGTGAGTCAGGCCCTATGCCAATCAGACTACAGACCACACTTTGGACTAGTTATGGATCCTCAGGCCTCTACAATACCTTGAGTTCTGCCTATCAACCTGACAGGATGCTGACCGAGCTTGAGGCACACTATCTGTCCTCCTTGATCCTAAGGGCTCTTAAGACCTTCCCAGGCAGACCCAGGCACACATACATAGAATGACTTTGTCTTTCCCTTGATGAGAACCTCACACCACCCATATGACCTTGTCCAATCCTACCACTGAAGTTCCCACCTGTGTCTGACCCTCCTTCTTAGGCCTCAGCAGCCACACCAATTATGCATTTCAGGGCTAAATCTTGCCCAGTCATTTTGCCTAACAAGCCCAAGGATGCCAATTTGTACCTGAATCCAGGAGGCAAGAACCACCTAAGATCATGTTTCTACACCTCTGCCCATATGACCCTGGATCAATGGTCTCACTGACAAAGCCAGCATTGGGCATGAATGCAAAGGCTTCCCCTGAGAGATTAGCTCTGTGTCCTACTGCACGGTATACACCCGTCAGAGGCAGGAGTTAGATAGCTCCGCTAATGGACCAAGTTTCATATACCTGCCTATCCTGGAATGCCGTGCACTGGTTCTTCAGGCCTTACCACAAGACCCAAGGGGACCTAATTTCACCTGAATCCAGTATGTGAAAGAGCCAACTCTACCTACCTGTGTTCAACTCTCTCTCTCTTTTTTTTTTTAAAATATATTTTATTGATTTTTTACAGAGAGGAACAGAGAGCCAGAAACATTGATGAGAGAGAGTCAATCTATCAGCTGCCTCTTGCACGCCCCCCACTGGGGATGTGCCCGCAACCAAGGTACATGCCCTTGACTAGAACTAAACGTGGGACCCTCTCAGTCCGCATACCGACACTCTATCCACTGAGCCAAACCAGTTTCGGCTCAGCTCTAACTCTTTCATAAGACAGTACAGTTGGCAGACAGGCTTTGCCTACCTGCCTTAGACTCTGGTTTCTCAAACTATATGAGGTGGGCCCCTCTACTTACCCACAGGCTGATCATGGGTTCTCAGATTACACTTGATGGGCCAGCTTTATCTAGCTGTATATGACGCTGGCTCCTTCCACTGTACCTAGCTCCTCAGCCATACCTGGCGACCTTTGCTTGAGTTTGGCACCTCAAACCACACCTAGGAGGACAGTTCTACCTACCTGTGCTTGACCCTGGGTCTTCAGACAGCACCTGGCAGGTCAGTTCTGCCTGCCTGTTCTTGACCTAGGCTCCTCCACAACTGGTAGACCAGCTCTACTTATCTGTATATGACCATGGCTCCTTATACTGTACCTAATGGGCTCTGCCTACCTGTGCTCGATCCTGGGTCCTCAGACTCACCTGGTGGGCCAGCTCTGCCTACCTGTGCTTGACTTTGGGTGTTCAGACCACATCTGGTGAGCTGATTCTACCTACCTGTATGTGACCCTGGTTCCTTATATTGTACTTAGTGGGCATTTCTGCCAACCTATGCTTAACCCTGGCTCCTCAGACCTCACCTAGTTATCCAGCTCTACCTACCTGCAAATAACATTGGCTTTTTTTTAAAAAAAAAATTGATTTCAGAGAGGAAGGGAGAGGGAGAGATAGAAACTCCAATGATGAGAGAGAATCATCGATTGGCTACCTCCTGGACAATTCCCTCTCCCTCTGGGAATCAAGATCACAAGCAGGGCATATGCCCCAACTGGGAATGGAACTGTGATCTTCTGGTTTATAGGTCAACACTCAACCACTGAGCCACACCATCTGGGCAGATACTGGCCCTTTATACTGCATGCAGTGGGTCAGCTCTGCCTACCTGCACATGATCCTGGCTCCTCATACTGTACTTGGTGGGCCAGCTCTGCCTACCTTGCTTGACTTTGGCTCCTTGGACCACACTGGGTGGGAAAGTTCTACCTACCTGTGCTTGACCCTCCATCCTCAGACTGAACCTGGAAGGCCAGCTCTTCCTACGGATGACTGTGGCTACTTACATTGCAGTTTGTGGCCCAGCTCTACCTACCTGTACTTGGCCCTGGGTCCCAGAACACACCCGATAGGCCAGCTTTGCTTAACCCTGTGTCCTTGGACCTGCCCACCTGTGTTTGACACTTGCTCCTCCGACCTCACCCGGTGGGATAGTGCTGCCTACGAGCTTGCTCCTGGCTGCTAGGACTGCACCTGGTGGGCTTTCTTTGCCTATCTGTACCTCATCTTACCTGCTTACACCTCATGGAATGCATTCAGTTCTGTGACTTTTTAGATTTCACTGGCCAGACCCAGTTTATTAACTTGATCTGATCTTGGCCCCAACAAACCCTGACAAACCCTGTTCTACCCACCTGTGCCTAAAACACACTGACAGAGCCAAGGATACAAGCCTGTGCCAGCTGCAGATTCCACAGACCTTACCTGAGAAACTCAATTCCATATACATGTACCTCAACCTCACATGAAACCTCTACAAGCTAGGTAGAGATGCAGTTTACCTGCCAAACTTGACCTTACCTGGGAGATTGTACCTATCCCAGCACTTCAGATCTCACCCGAGAGAGCCTGCTCTATCCACCTGTTTTCACTTCATATTCTCAGAGGTGATCTAAGACAGTGGTCGGCAAACTCATTAGTCAACAGAGCCAAATATCAACAGTACAACAACTGAAATTTTTTAAGAGCCAAATATTTTATTTTATTTTATTTTTTTTTACAGAGAGGAAGAGAGAGGGAGAATTAGAAACAGCTATGAGAGAGAATCATCAATCAGCTGCCTCTTGCACACCCCCTACTGGGGATGTGCCTGCAACCAAGGTACATGCCCTTGACCGGAATTGAACCCGGGACCCTTCAGTCCACAGGCTGATGCTCTATCCATTGAGCCAAACCGGTTTCGGCGAGAGCCAAATTTTTTAAACTTGAAATTCTTCAAAACAGACTTGCCCAGGCTGTGGTGTTTTGTGGAAGAGCCACACTCAAAGGGCCAAAGAGCCACATGTGGCTTGCGAGTGGCAGTTCGCCGACCATGGATCTAAGAGACGCAGTTTTCTAAATGAGCCTAATCCTGGCTCCTCAGACCTCTCCTAGAAATCTGCTCTATCTACTTGTGGCTTTAAAGTGAAACAGAACTTTAGCCATGGCTTTACAGGCCAACCTACCTCTGCTTGCCTTAATTTCACAGATACTACCTGAAATACTCAATTCTACCTACCTGTGCTTGACCTCAGCTCCTCAGATGTAGAATAAGAACCAGGGTCTGACCTTAGCAGCTCAGAACTTACCTGTTCAAGACCCAGAAGTACTAACCTGTGTATCTCACTTCAACTCCTCAGACTTCACTTGACACATGAAGATGCCCCATGACCGACCTCAACAGATCGGGCCTCAATTTACATACCTCTGCCCGACTGGACTCGTCCAACCTTACCTCAGAGCCAATGCAATATCCCTATGTCTGTCCTGACTCCTCAGCCTCACCTGAGACACCCTAACTCCCGAAACTTCACCTGTCCCTGTTCTTGGCTCCTCAGATGCCAACGACTCAATTCAGCAACATATACTTTTAGTGAACAGGCAGGTCCCTCCTCCAGCTACTGTGGTATGTGGTGTTTGGCCTGGCCAGGAGGCCTCTGCTGTGCCTGGCTACCTAGGCCTCACTACGCAGCCCTAGACCCATGTTCCTGTGCCCAAGTATCATTCCTAGGCCTTACCTGGGAGACACAGGCCTCTCCCTACGCCATATCCCAGCTCGTCTCTGCATGCTGGGCATGTACGGGCACTGAACACCCAGACTAGGACACAACCTGGCTAGCAGGAGCACATGTCCCTGACCACCGCTCGCTCAGGCTCCAGACCCTGGGAGGAGGTGAAAGGTGTCTCCCCTCCCTGAGCAGGCATGCAGCATTTGTTAGAGCTGCAGTCGCTCTTGACTGATTCCTCATCCGAGCCACTGGATGTAGAAAATTATTTGAGTGATTTCTCAGTTCTCCCAAGGATGGCACATAATTAGTCCCATTCTAGAAAGACATTAAATCATTGCACACAATAGATGCCTTAGAGCTTAATTCTCTCCCAGACTCCAAGCTTTCAAAGGTTACTTTTGTGAATGCTGTCACCATGCAAATAGTCTAAAGGCCTGGAAACAGCCACAGGGATCAAGCCCTCTTCGGTGAGCCTGCCATGGTTATGCCCCCCGCACTCACAGCACCCACAGCGCACCCTGCACAGTAGCCCTGCACCCCAAGCCTTCCCTGCATTCCACAGCCGGAGCACTTCTCACACCACTGCTGCTCTCGGCAAGCTGCAAGGAGAGTTCCTGCTCATTGCATGGCACCAGCGGTGGCTCTAGCAGGGATGAGTCCATGTGACCACATGTCTGCAGAGTGGCCTGCAGCTCTGCCACTCCGTCAAATTTTGCTCTGCAAGCTGCCTAGCAAGGCCCTTCCAGGCCCCAGGCCTGGTGCCTCCTCTTTGCTGCCCTCCAGTTGCTCCTGCATACTGGTCACACCCCCTGCCTCTCCCTGCCCCTTGGCCTTTTCAGATTGCGGCAGTAGTTCAGGAGAAAGGTCACCACCTAGAATAACTCAGCCTCAGCTTTGTAGGGGCGGCTCCCATTACGCCTCAGTGGGTGCTGCTGGCAGGCACCCAGGGGAGTGTCACCCTAGCTTTGAAAGCTTGGCTCTCCCTCGGTGGAAGTGGAGCCCTCATCCTGACTGGGCTGCTCCTGCCCCACATGCCTCTCTGGGGGCCTCTTGGCTTTTCTCAAAGCCAGGCATGCAGCGGGTAATCAATAAACGTGGACCTGACCCCATACGACCCTGATCTACGGCTCAACCGTCATGACTTAGAGAAGGACACATAGTTAAGCCGCAAGGAAGTGCCTTTACTTACATCCCAGAACTCGAACATGTTTTGAGGGTCAATTCCAAACTCCTTCACCTTGGTCTACAAACAGCAAAGGGAGAGGGAAAGAAGCATGGATTAGCTGGACAAGAACAGGAGCTCCAGAGTATAAGGAATCGTGCGGTCCGAGCACCCCACCTTCCGCAGAGCCCCAGATGGGCAGGGCTGGAACAGCCTGGGTCCAGGACAGGGACCACGAGCTGCCCACTCCCAGAGCTGGACGCCAGGCCAGCTCGAATCCGGCACGCAGTGGCTGGCACCTGTGAAGCCTTCCTGCTGAGGGGGTTGCACCCCAGTACGAGGACCTGACCCACGTGCTGCCTTTCATCCCCCGAACATCTGGGAAACTTAACCTGGTGCTGGAACCCGAGCCCGGCAGGGGCTCCCTCTAGGCCAGGCACCTGCTCAGCCCTTTCGAAATCTGGGATGGCGACTCTGCCCTAGGAAGCCTTCAGGGACGATCCATCTGACTCCGGGCTTCCTGGACAGCAGGAGCACCCAATGTCTCTGACTACCACTGCTCAGGCTCTGCCGGACGGTGGTGCTGTGGTCAGCCAGCCTAAAGAGGGCCGCCTGTCTCCCTCAATGGGCAGGTCAGCAGTGGAGGCAGGAAGAGATGGGAGGGGCGGGATGGAGCAGTCAGGAACCTGGGTGTGGTTCCAACTCCTCGCAGCCCAGCATAAGGCCCACCACCACACAGCAAGTGCTCACAAGGTTTGCCATGGCTGTTATTCCCACAGCCCCACCCTGCTCCGCTGGCTCACTCCCACCCTACCTTGCACAACCTCCAGCCAGGCAGGCATTCTAATCCCGGCAATGACTGGGCAAAAAGTCACATCTTTACGTAAGAACGGGGATGCAACCACAGCTCCATTTAGGAAGAGGCTGGTGGGAGGGTAGCAAAGACAAGGGAGGTCGTGTGCATGGAGCGTTCTGGATTATCAGGCGGGCCTTGGAAATGCGTGGGCCTGACATGATCTCACTGGTGCAAAGCCCTCGGAGCTGCAGAGACTTGGGAGAATGCAGAAAAAACAAGGGGGGTTTGTAGCTCCCTTCCCTCTTAGGCACCTAACCCTCCTATCCCATCAGCTAGGCCGAGGTCCCCGAACCTGTGACCTTGGCATGTATTCTGAAAGGCCATGTCCTTGTGTGGTGTGGTTCCTCCCTGGGAGGTAGTCTGGGGACCCACGTGGGCACTTACCGTATTAGTAGACAGGGCAACGAAGTGCTTCGCAACTGAAGAAGGCTACAAGAGACAGAGCCACGTTACACTGAACCCATCCCAGGGGGCCACCCACGGGAGGGGACACTCCCATCTCTAGAGAAACCAAGGTCCTTGGTTCTGAGGCTGTTGGAGGAGCCCCACCTCAAGGTCAAAGGCCAAGAGGACAGAGAGGTTGGCTGGCCCATCCTGCCTTATCAGCATACAGGGCCCAGGAATGCTCTCCTTATAAAGTGGGTGTCTCCAGGGGAGGAGAGGATCCCACAGAGCGAGGGGCCTTAAAGAAAGGGCCCTCAGCCAATTACAGCAGGTTTTGCCAATTAACCAGGAAAGTCAGGCAAGCTGAGGGCTATAGAAATAGGGCTACAGGGCTAGGCTGAGCCCCTCAGGTGGTTGGGCATCCCCCCTCCCCCAGCCTTCCTGGCCCACACACTGCCCACCGCCCACCCAGCACTCACATCCTTGGACGTCTGGAGAAGCCACTCCTTTGCCGTCTCTGCGTTCGTGATGGTCTCTTGGGTGGTAAAGGTCTGAAACCAGAGAGCACAGCAGTCTGAGCAGCAGAGGCCATGTGGGTGCCCGGCTGTCACAGGAGCAGCGCAGGACTCCACAGACCCCCCCTCCCCCCCCACAGGTCCACAAAGCCACGGTGAGCAGCTGCGATGGGCTGAAAGGGGCCTGGAAGTAGCAGCGACATCCTGTGAGTCCAAAACTTCACAACGAGAAGGAACAGTGACAGAGGGGAACTCTACTAAGAGCCACAACCCATCCCACTTCCTCTGATCCCTGCCACAGGTCAAGGGCAGAGCATCTTCCAGGAGAAGAGCTGTGGCCACGCCTGGACGTTCCTTCAGCCCAGGCTAAGCTATATCGCAGAATTCAGATGGGATTTTTAAAAAAATATATTTTATTGATTTTTAACAGAGAGGAAGGGAGAGAGATAGAGAGCTAGAAACGTCGATGAGAGAGAAACATCGGCCAGCTGCCTCTTGCACACCCCCTACCGGGGATGTGCCCACAACCAATGTACATGCCCTTTACCGGAATCGAACCTGGAATCTTTCAGTCCGCAGACCAACACTCTACCGCTGAGCCAAACCGGCTTCGGCTCAGATGGGATTTTTAACATTTTTATGTGCATTAACGTGAGTAAATAGGGCACAAATGACAACAAACAAAATGCTTACATCATCTGAGCATGGCTCTGGGATCAGAAAGGAGCAGACACTAGGGACAGGTCACTAAGGATGAGAACAGTCCCAGGCTGAGCACAGATCCCATAAAGCAGCTGGGTTTGGCCTGAAGACCAAGATTCAAACTGATGAGTCCAGGCTTTCATCAGGCAAACAGTGAATGCCCCCCAGACAAGGAACAGTCTGAGGGCAGCTGTGCTGACTGGATCCACAACACAGAGTCCACTCAGAAGTGGTGGGGAGGGTCCCATGCCCTGCCCCCACCCCACCCCACATAGGGGAGCCAGGCTGGGGTTGAGGCCCGTACCTTGGAAGCGATGATGAACAGGGAGGACTCCGGGTTCAGGTGGGCCAAAGTTTTGGCAATGTGGGTCCCATCGATGTTGGAGACAAACCAGACCCGGGGGCCTCCCGAAGCGTATGGCTTGAGGGCTTCAGTCACCATGAGGGGTCCCTGTGGGGAGGCAGGGCATCAGAAAACGAGATTCCAGGGGGAAGAGGTAGGGACAGCCAGGTCCCATCATTGGAAAAACCAAGGCCCTGGATGGGACCCGTCACCCCATCCCAAGGCCGTCCTCGCCTTACCAGGTCAGAGCCACCGATGCCGATGTTAATGACGTCTGTGATGGGCTTGCCTGAGTACCCCTTCCAGTCACCACTTCGGACACGCTGGTATAGAGTGAGAGATGTGATTAGCCCAAAACCCCAAGGATAAGCTGCTGCTCAGACATATCATTACTGCTTCTTCCTTATGCCTCAGTCCTAACTTTCAGGCACTCATGGGGGCCTACTGAGAGGCAGATGCCTGCTACACTCATCACCGACTATTTCATCGTTAGCAAAGTGGGATACATCCTCACCTCACAGTAATATCGTCAGGATTTGTAAAACAAGGGTGAACTCTCAGCAGAACCCAACATATCAGAGACTGAGAGATGGGAAATGCCAAACACTAACACTGGTCTGTGCCAGAAAAAGAACATCAAACACACAGCCAACCTCCACATGGACCTCAAATGATCCTTCCTCCTGGTATTCACGCCTGAGCACAGTCCCTGAGCTGAACAGGGCTGAGCTGTGCACCCTGTAGGGTGCTACGGGCAGGATGGAGCATGACTTCAGAAGCTGGGTTGTGAAAGGATTAGTCTTGTATGACTCACTTCTGGCGGAACCATTTACTAAGTCGGAGAACACACAAAAGATCACGTGAAGAAACCCATGTGGCAAGGAACTGAGGTGTTCTTCCAACAGCCAGGGCCCAGTCACCATCCATGAATGGGAACCGCTGGAGAAGAAGATCCTCCAGAACCCGCCAAACGTTCAGGTGAGTACAGCCCTGGCAAACACCTTGACCACAACCTCAAGAGACCCCCCAAACCAGTTACCCCAGTCTGTAATTTCTGATCCATGGAAACTATGTGAGATAAACATATACTGCTGTGTAAAGTCGAATTTGGGTGTAATTCGTTATCTATATATATAAAACACGAATATGCAAATACGAACAGAACAACCAACTGGTTGCTATGATGTGTGCTGACTACGAGGGGGCACGTGCAGAACTTGGTGGGCGTAAGCAGCAGGCGGCAGAGTGCGGAACATGGCGGGCATTGGCTGTGGCGGGATTGTGGAGCAGGTGAGTGAGGTTGCCAGACCAAGGAGGGGCACCGTTGCTGTCATCAGAGTGAGCCTCTGATGGCTACTGAAAATTCTTTGCTCCCACATGCTGCAGTCCCACTGGGTGCTCACACCTGCTGCTGGCGTTGGCCCCGCTAGCACCCACTGCTGGTCCCAGTCGCCACTCAGGGTTTCTCTACCTCCCCCTGCTCCTGAGGGAGGACTGAGGCCGGCAGCTGCGCCTCTCACACCCACAATCTGCCACGGCCCCACCTGCCTCCACTGCCAGCACCAGCCCTGCTTGCACCTGCAGCCAGTCCTGGAGCTGTTGGCGCCGTCCCAATCGCTTGGTGCCATCAGTGGGTGCAAGCAGCGGCTGCTGGCCCTGATCGCCCCTGAGGGCTTCTCCACCTCCCCCTGCTCCTGAGGGACTGTGAGAGGGCGTAGGCTAAAGTAACCCCCGAGTGTATGAATTTCATGCGCTGGGCCTCTAGTATAATGATAAATAAATAATGCCAGATTTTGGCACCAAAAAGTATTGCCATAACAAAACCCCAAAATTTGTGAGCAAAAGCTAAAAGAATCAATTAACGAAAGCCTAAAAAATACTAGGAAAGAGTGTCAGCAGAAGTTTGATAGTCCTAGAAGAGGCTGCTAATGTGGATTTGAAGAGATAGGAGGAAAACATTGGAAATCGGAGGAAAAACAATCCTTGTTATGTAGTGACAGAACATTTAACACTGCTGCTGCATTAACAGGGAAAGTAAAAGACATACCTACATATGATCTGGATGATCCAGCTACAGAGCTTTTCACTATGTTACAGGAACTGCCTGGATTTTCGGTGTTTATTGTAAAATATTAGAGAAATACGCTAACAGAGAAATTTTTAACAAAAAGAAGCTGGGAAATGGAGTGTTAGAAAATCACAGCCTCTCAAGGAAGCAAGTGATGCTAAAATTAGGAGATGGTTCTTTGCCCCAGCCTGTGTGGCTCAGCTGGTTGGGTGTTGTTCAAGGCACCAAAAGGCTCCTGGTTTGATTCCTGGTCAGGGCACATGTTCAGGTTGCACAGGGGGTGTGCAGGAGGCAGTTGATCCATGTTTCTCTCTCATTTCCTCTCTCTCTAAAACTCAATTAAAAAAGAGAGAGAGAGAGAAAGAAAGCTCCTTGGCAAAGAGCAAATGCAGAGCACTGTCAAAAAGCATAGTATAAAGACAAAGCTGAGAATGCAGCTGTAAAACCCTTTTAGATCTCAGAAAAAGCCCAGGTGGTACCACAGAGAACCTTCTGGTGAGATAAAGCTTTAAGAAGCTCAAAGTTAGCCGAAACCAGTTTGGCTCAGTGGATAGAGCATCGGTCTGTGGACTGAAAGGTCCCAGGTTCGATTCCAGTCAAGGGCATGTACATTAGTTGCGGGCACATCTCCAGTGTGGGGGATGCAGGAGGCAGCTTGTCGATGTTTCTCTCTTGTTGATGTTTCTAACTCTCTATCCTTCTCCCTTCCTCTCTGTAAAAAATCAATACAAAAATATATAAAAAAAAAAAAAAAAAAAGAGAAGCCCAAGGTTATTATCTCTATGGTCTCAGAAGCAATGGTAAGAAAAAGTTACCTTGAAGCCATTTGTGGATATAACTTTTGTCTAACGGAATGAACCCCCCAATAAGCTTTAGAGGAGAAACTCAAAGTTTGTTGTTTGTTTGCTTGTTTAAATATATTTTATTGATTTTTTTACAGAGGAAGGGAGAGGGATAGAGAGTTAGAAACATCGGTCAGTTGCCTCTTACACACCCTTTACTGGGGATGTACCCACAACCAAGGTACATGCCCTTTTCCGGAATCAAACATAGGACCCTTTAGTTCGCAGGCCGACGCTCTATCCACTAAGCCAACCTGGTGAGGGCAGAACCTTAAAGTTTTTTTTCTTTTTTTATAAGAAATATTTTTATTGATTTCAGAGAGAGGAAGGTAGAGGCAGAGAGAGTTAGAAACATCAATGGGAGACAGAATTATCAATGGGCTGCCTCCTGCACGCCCTCCACTGGGGTTGGAGCCTGAAACCTGGGCATGTCCCATGACCAATGGAACTGTGTCTTCCTGGTTCATGGGCAACACTGAACCTCTGAGCCACACTGGCCAGACAACATAGAATTTTTAAGATAACTGAATTGGCAGAAGCACCGCCAGTTTAGACTAAAAGGGACAGAGACGGTACAACGGGAGAAGTCTTTGGATACCCACATTTCTACAGGAGTAGGCAGCTGACAAAACGATGCATTTGCAAGTATCTTTCATATAAAAGGAACGGATGAAGCCAAAACCAAAAACCCTAAGGAATGATTCCCAAACTCTAAGTGCTAACCAAGTACCGTATTTTCCAGCGTATAAGACGACCCCCTAATTTTACAGTTAAAACATAGGTTTAGGCCTATATTCGCTGTATAAGACTACCCCCCACTTCTGAGGCAACACCAGTTCTTTTTTTAATAGACAGCCTCTCTGACTCTGGCCAATCTGAGCAGGCTTTTTACTAGAACACAGTGTAGCTTTGGGTACAGAACATGTACACTGTGTTCTAATAAAAAGCCATGTACACTATGTTCCAGTAAAAAGCCTGGTCAGATTGGCCAGAGTCAGAGAGGCGGTCTATTAAAAAAAGAACTGGTGTTGCCTCGGAAGTGGGGGGTAGTTTTATACTGCGAGTATAGGCCTAAACCTATGTTTTAACTGTAAAATTAGGGGTTGTCTTATACACCGGAAAATACGGTAACTGCCAAAATGTGTCTTGCTGAATTACTTTGGACCAATGGCTCCTGTGTGCCTCCCATTTCCCTCTCCTTTTGAAAGGAATTAGCCTATCAGATAGCCTATGCTTATTTCACCTTTTTATGTGGGGTGTTCGAGGGGGTAAATAATGTGTCTCTTTAATTCACATGTCTTCAAATCTAAAGGAACTGTATTTAAGTTGTATTAAAAGAAAAGAAGTCCTGGCCAGTTTGGCTCCATGGGTAGAGCATCAGTCTGTGAACCAAAGGGTCCGGTCAGGGGCACGTACCTTGGTTGCAGGCTCCTCTCTGGCCCCGGCCCTGGTCACAGCGTATGCAGGAGGCACCCAATCAATGTGTTTCTCTCACATCAGTGTTTCTCTCTCTCTTTCCCTCTCTCTTCCATGCTCTCTAAAATCAATGGAAATATATCCTTGGGTGAGAATTAAAAAAATAAAAGAAAGAAATGCGGACATTACTATTCTTGTACCTAATTTAGATGATGAGGTTCTTGACTTCTAGCTGATACAGTGATGGAATATCACCCAGGAGAAGTGACGGGATATTTTGCATGTGGAGGAACATGATGGATGACTGGAAGCCAGAGGGCAGAGTATGGCAGCCAGCATCCAAGATGGTTCCCAATGATTCTTGCCTCCTGGCATTGCATTCATGTTCTTACAGGCCCCTCCCACTCTGGTCAGAGCTAGCCTGTAAAATCAATAGGGTTCCAGAGACATCAAAGAATAATTTCTGATGCTAGCTCATGAAAGACCTTGAGGCGCTCTGGGTCATTCGCTCTGGGGAAAAGCAGCTGCCTTGTCCTAGGACAATCCAATAGTGTGTGGAGAGGTCCGCCTGATGAGGAACTGCAAGGCTCCCAAAAGCCAGCACTAACGGTGAGGGAGCCACTGGAAAGCAGATCCTGCAGCCCCCATCAAGCCTGCAAATGAGCGTAACCTTAACTACAAGCTCTGAGAGGTGAGGTAGAACCAGCTAGCAGAGATGCTGCAAATTCCTGATCCACAGAGATGTTGGTTGTTGTTTTAGCTGCGAAATCCTGGAGTAATTTCAAGATCCTGCAACTCTTATTTTTGTTTTAAATAATAAAGCAATCAACCTATAAAAATTTTATATCAATATAAAAAAGGAAATAAGTTGCACATTTTCTCAATCTCACTATTAAAGTTTTGTTATAATAAAGCGCCTCATAGGAGAAATGTATTTATCTTTAATATAAGTACACACACTCTTTATTTGACCAGATGGTATTTTACGACACATGCCAATTCTGTAACTTTCTTTAAAATCATAGTATATCCTAAACAGCACGGCAGGTCAATGCAACCACAGCTCCCTACTTCCTCATGTGCTTCCTAATTGCTACAGTGCATGAACATACACTGGCTCTACTGACCTGTGCCCTCTGATAAATTAGCTCTTTTCCATCACAATCAAGATCATGGCATCCTCATCCTGTATCCGTGAACTTTCTGTTTGTTTTGTTAATCCTCATCCAAGGATATATTTTCCCATTGATTTAAAAACAAACAAACATTTTATTAACTTTTTACAGAGAGGAAGGGAGAGAGATAGCTAGGAACGTCAACGAGAGAGAAACATCAACCAGCTGCCTCCTACCCCCCCTCCCCCCCACCTGCTGGCTGCTGGCTGCTCTCTCTATCCCACTGGCTGCTCCCTCTGTCTCACTGGCTGCTCCTTCTGTCCCACTGGCTGCTCCCTCTGCACTGCTGGCTGTTCCCTCTGTCTCATTGGCTGCTCTCTCTGTCCCACTGGCTGCTCCCTCTGTCCCACTGGCTGCTCCCTCTGTCCCACTGGCTGCCTGCTCTGCCCCACTGGCTACCTCCTCTGCCCCACTGGCTGCTCCCTCTGCCCCACTGGCTGCCTCCTCTGCCCCACTGGCTGCTCCCTCTGCCCCTCTAGCTGCTCCCTCTGTACTGCTGGCTGTGCCCGCAACCAAGGTACATGCCCCTGACCGGAATCGAACCTGGGACCCCTCAGTCCACAGACCAAAGCTCCACCGCTGAGCCAAACTGGTTTCAGTGAGCCAAACAGGTTTCGGCCCATTGATTTTTAAAAAATATATATTTTATTGACTTTTTACAGAGAGGAAGAGCGAGGAATAGAGAGTTAGAAACATCGTTGAGAGAGAATCATCAATCAGCTGCCTCTTGAGCACCCCCTACTGGGGATGTGCCCGCAACCAAGGTACATGCCCTTGACCGGAATCGAACCTGGGACCTTTCAGTCTGCAGACCGACGCTCTACCGCTGAGCCAAACCGGTTTCAGCCCCATTGATTTTTATAGGAAGTGGAAGGGAGGAAGAAAAAGGGAGAGAGAAACATCAATTGGTTGCCTCCCAAACCTGCTCTGACTGGGGCCGGGGACTGAACCTGCAACCCAGGTACATGCCCTTGACTGGGAATCGAACCTGTGACCCTTCAGTTCATGGGCTTGCACTCTAACCACTTAGTAACACCAGCAGGGGCCTGGGGAACTTTTAAGAGCATAGCCATGGGGAGTGTTCCTCACCACGGGATTGCTGCCACTCAGCAGCTTTTCTACACTATAAACACCCCATCTGAGTGTCTGAGTCAGGTTCTCCAGCAGCCAGCGGTGTGGGACACTCCACACACGGCTTGTCTGAGCACACAAGCATTGATCAGACAGAGCACTAGGCTTTTCCTGGCATGTCAGCTCTGGCACTCACAAAAGATGGCTGGAAATCTTCTCCCTCATACCCAGAGCCACCACACATATCAACCACTGTTAAGGAATATTCTGGAAACCAGATTCCTATCAGGACCCCAAGCCTTCCTCACCCTGGGAAGTACTATTCATTCGGCTGCCAGGCCCTAGGATTGATGCCCAGATCACCTCCTGCCATTTCAGGTCTGAAAATGGCTCTCAGCCGAAGCAACCAGACTTTGACCAGCCAGCCGAGGGCCAGAACAAGCTGACCAGAACGCAGATTATCACTCCCAGAGCACACGTCACGCACATGCACACACCCACACACACAAACAAGCCCACAGACATCATCCTTGGACTCCAGGCTTGAGGACGTCTGCCACCCATTGCAGGATCACCTCTTGGCAGGACACGGAGGCAACGGTGTTGATGTGGCAAAACCTCTAGCTGGTGTCTGAGACTCCACCCCTACGGCCCCACCCAGGAAGTTATTACAATAACACTGACACAGGGGCACCTCTGACATAGTTCTAAGTACAAATAAGCTGCAGAAGAGTAGGTAAAAATGAGCCTGTGTGTACACATGGGCATGCGTGTATTTCAAAGGGGAGATGGCATCTGTATGTGTGTACGCATAGGAAGCCTTTGGGGGTGTAATCAAAGCAAGTCTTTTACCTGGTTCTAGGCCAGGTGATGAGGGCATATGACTAAACATAGATTAGAAAAGTCCCTTCCCCACTCTCCATCCCTCACTTCTCCTCTCAGACCTCGGCCACTGGCCAGTTTGTCCATGAGCCCACAGGTGTCTGTAGTTCAGGAAGGAAGCTGCCCACTGAGCCCGTGATGGGTTCCCTCAGAACTGGGTCCCCAAGGGCCAGCAATCACACAGATATTCCCCCCGCCACCCCACCCCTCTCCTTAGGCTGCTGTGAGGGACTGAGTCCTCTCCGAAGGGAATTGTGGCCCAGAAGGGCTCCCAAATTCCCAAATGCATGCACACCTCCAGCTAAAGGCAAGTGCAGCCCAGCAGCTGCTTACCTGGCTGAAAGACTTCATCTTCTCCAGGACCCTGTTCACCTCCGGCATCACATCCTTGCCATCCACCAGGACGGGTGTGTTTGACCGGTTCCGCAGGGCCACGTGCAGCACTGCCCGATTCTGGGGACAAGAGTCAGAGTGAGAAGAACCCACCCCAGGGCAGCCCCCTTCCAGCTGGGCGCGTGCAGTGCGGCCTGGACGAGGTAGATGGACAAGCAGGCCCCAAGGCCTGTCAGTGCTGTGGTCTCACATGGAGAATCCACTGTGTGCTTGTGGAAATTGGGGCTGCCCCGGTTTAGGGGGTAAGGCAAAGCATGTGCTGTTTGCTCCCTTATGCGGTGCAGATGACCATGAGGGGACGGAGACTGGAACAAGCCTAGGAAAAGCCCCAAGGGCCCTTAGGTATTCGGAGTGTGAAAAGCCAAGGAAAAAGGAACACAGTGAGCAAAGGCAGAGTGGTGGCAGCACAGGTCAGAGACAAGCAATGCTTCAGAGGACTAGGGCTCACTCATTAAGCCTAAAGTCATCTCATCTTCCTGGTCAGAGGACATGGTGTTTGCTGGCATCTTTTGAAAAGTGCCCCCAGCCTCTTGAAGGTAAAGCAAAGCAGGCAACTCAAGCTTCCCTCACCAAGCAGCCCTATCACAAATTGGGACTCTTAGCCTGTGACAGGTGCCAGGCAGCTGGCCTTGTCCTGCAAGAGCAAGTCTCATCAAGCTGAAGCCAGTAGAAGAGTCCCTGAAGGAAACAGAGCTAAAGATGCCAGGTGGGCAGGGAAGAGATGGTCATGCTACCCTGCCCGACCCCCCTCCTGCCCCAGTTCAACAGGTAAATGCACCCCTCCTTGAATGCAACCTCTCTCAGTCTAGCCCAGCAGTGCAAGACAGGTTGTATTTGAATCCTGACTCTACCTCGTACAGATATGACTCTTGGATAAGTAACCTGACCTCTGAGCCTCGGATTCCTCCTGTGTAAAAGGAGGATAATAATCTTGAGGCCAGGCCTCTGAGTGCTCTGTGATTATTATGCCTCCAGGCTTCCACAGCAATTCAGGAGCTGGGCCCCCAGAGCCTGCCTTCTTCTTGATTCCTACCACTGAGGAGGTTTATTTTTTGACATAAGAGGTGTTTTGTTTTTGTTTTCCCCCCCCGCATTAATAAAACTTGGAGCAAATCTATGTCAAAGTTCTCCAAGTACGCCCTGAGAAGCCCTCTCCTCACAGGTTTGAAATGTGCTCTCCCTAGGCAGACACTGGGAGCCATTCCCTGCTTACCAAGTCCAGACCAGCAGTCTAGGGGAAGACAACCCCAAGGCCAGGCAATGTGCTAAAGGAAACAGGCCTCAGGACACTCGTTAAGCAAAAGTATTGCCTAACTGGAGGGGTGAAGACACAGAGGCCAACGGTTATGAGAAGGAAGGAAGAGGCCCTGGAGGACCTGAGAAGTCTGATGCCACCAGGATGCTCACCTCAGTGAAATTGATCTTCTCACCATTGAACATGTTCTCCCGGGCGGCCTCCACACCCCTGGACTTGGCCTGCAAGAGAAGAACCGAGGCTGGGAACCACCCCCATTAGCCACCAGGAGTCCACGCTCCAAGCACAGGCTTGGTGCAGCCCCAGGTGGGGTTGGCAGACGCTGCAGCCTGGCACCCTCTCCCACTGCCTGGTAAGAAGAGTCAGTTCAGAACCTGAGTTCATCTTATTGCTGAGATGATGTGGCCTGCAAAACCTAAAATAGTTGCTCTTTGGCTCTTGAGAGAAAAAGTTTGCTGACCTTTGGATTAGATAATTTTGCAGCCATTAAAACACTTAAGAACCATTATTAAACAAATAGGAAGTATATTAGAATGAAAATAATAGAGCCTGAGTTCAGGCCAGGAGCTCAGAGCCCTGCATTGGCACAGTCACTGAGGTCCACAGAGAAAAGGAAGTAAAGATGCCCAAGCACATGAGGGCTCCCAGGAGCCCAGCTTGCCCACCACACTGTGGGTTACAGGTCAAGCCTCCCTAATAAGAACATTACCAGGTCCAACAGCATCTTCATCACATCCTCTGTCACCAGGTTCTTGGAATAATCCACCAGAATACGCCCATGGTTGGTATCGAGGTTCAAGCTGCAGAAAGATGGCAGAGGCCGTTGACCACACCCATGTACCCCCAGCCTGCTCCCTAATCAGAACTGCTTCCAGAAAAAAAAAATCCTCTTTGTGCCATACCCCAACCAGGCCTCAGCTGCCTGCCCACCAGGCTGAGCTGCAGCCGCGCGCAGTGAGAAGGGCCTCTGAACAGAATGCATGTCTCTGGGTGAGGAGCCATTCCTCTGCTAAAACTGAGCTGGGGGATGGGAGACACAGAGCGAGGTTCACTGTCCCTCCCTGAACTCCCACTCTGCACCTCAGCTTACTCAGGGAGGACCCAGATGGCAGGGCTGGCACAGGGGCCTTCCAGCCCGAGCCACAGACAACCCCTCCCAACACACCTGCACCAGGGCACGGTCAGCCCCATTCCCATCCCCATTCCCCCAAGATGTCCTCTAACGGACTCCTTTCTATTTCCTGGTCCTTCACAAGTCTCCAGGCCTGGCCTCTTCCGCGGGAATCACGTCCCCACACCTCCACCCTTCCACCAGACTGCCCGCAATCCCCCCGCCTGCCCCACCCAGACCGAGGCCCGCAGAGGGTCCCACGCCAGCAGCGGGAGCGGATGGAAGCAGGCAGCCCTTCCCCGCCGGCGGCGTCAGCCACGGTCGCTCCCCATAACAGCGAGGAGTCCCTTTGCAACCCGCGGGGCTGCGCGGCGGGGACGAGGGGTGACGGGCATGTCCCCGCGGCGGGGAGCCGCGGAGGGGACCCCTTCCCAGGGCTAAGCTGCCCTGCCACCTCCGGCGAGCTCCCGGAACCCGCTTCAAGGAGGCGTCAAGGACGAAGCGCGGCCTGGGTCCCGATCCGGGGCAGGGGCTCCGGGGAGCGCCCGCCCGGCCCCGGCCCCGCACCCCTGGAGCCGCGGCCCCGCGCCCCGCACGCCCCGCTCCCGCCGCACGTCCCGCTCGCCAGCGGCCCCGCGGCCCCGCGCACCTGAAGCGGTTGAAGCGCTCCTTGTCCGCTTCGAAAAGGCGGCGCAAGTTGAGGTCAGCGCCCTGCTTGCGGTGCCATTCCTGGAGCTTCTGGAACTGCGGGTCCTTGGTGAGCGCGGCCATGGCGAGGGCAGCGGGATGCACGGGCGGCGAGGAGGGCGGAGGAACCTGCAGGGCTGTCGGCGTGCAGCTGGCCCGTCCCCGGCGGCGGTCTTTATGGCGCAGGCGCGGCCGCCCGCCGGGCCCCGCCCCAGCGCCCGCCCGGCGACCTTGCGGGCCGCCCAGCTGTGGGGCCTCCGCTGGCCTCTCCCTGCACAGGGCGGCCACTAGTGCGGCCCCTGCCTGGACGTGACTGGAGGACAGAAGCCGAACTCCCCGTGCCCTGTCTTGCTTCATCCGTCGGTTCATTCATGTGTTCATTCATTTAACACAACTCCGAACGCCTTCCATGTTAACAGGTAGTGCTCCAGGCGTTTCGGATACATAAGTGACAGACTATGGTATGACAAACCTATGGTATGTCAGATGCGGGTAAGTGTTATTGAGAACACTGGAAAGGGTGCTGGGATTGTGGGTTGCAATTGTGAATAGAATGTTTAAGGGAAAATTTTACTAATGAGGTTACATTTGAGCAAAAGCCTGAAGAAGGTTAGAAAGTGAGCCAATGGGATGTCTGGGAGGGGGTGGAGGGGGCGGGGGGTTAAGTGTTCAGGCAAAGGGAAGAGCAACTGCAAAATCCCCAAGAGCAGCATGGTTTGATGTTTCAGAAACAGAAGTAGCCATTTTGGCCGGAGTGGAATGAAGGAGGGGAAAGTGATAGAAGATGGGGCCAAAAAGGGAAAGAAGGCAAGATCACATACACCTTGCCAGTCATTGTGAGAGCCCGAGTTTTTATTCCCAGAGAGATGGGAAGCCACTGAGGGGTTCTCAGCAAAGAAGGGACATCATCCAGCATGTCTTACGAAGGATCAGGCCCACAATGCAACAGGAATGGAAGTGAGGACAACAAGTGGGAGGCTACGGCAACAATGCAGGCCAGGGACAAAAGTGGCTTGGGTCGAGGTAGTAGGATATATTGGGCCAGGCGATCTGGATATATTGTGAGTGAAGAATTGGCAATTTGCTGGTGAAAGAGAGAGAAAGAATGGTGAAAGGTGACATCTACTTTTCTAACTGAATTCCTGGAAAAATGGAATTGTCATTGCATCTTGCAGAGATGCAAGTTTTTTGTTTTTGTTTTTTTTGGGGAAATCATATGATCTTGTTTTTGGACAAGTTTTCAAAACCTACTCCACATCTAAGTGTTGAATTGGCTATCCGTGTCTGGAGTACATGTACAGGGAAAGTTTGAGCTGGAGGAAAAAACCTGGGAGAGTCATCAGTGAATGGATAGCATTTGAATGACTCTCTCAAGGGGAGAGCTTGGATGAGAGGGAGTGAGAATAGTCAGAGAGGAGAGGAGGTCCAGAACTGGGCACTCAACTTGAGCTTCTTTGTTGCTGGGTTCCACCAGAGTAGCCAGATGTCGGGTGTGTGCCCTGTCCTGCTGCAGCCCCAACCATGGGTCTTCCTACCACCCACCTCCCAGCTCATGCAGTCCATGCCGCCTCTGGCCTCTGCAAATGACTTTCTCTCCCTGCCCAGAATGATCTGGAGTCCTAAAGATGAAGAAGGAAAATAGGAAAGGGGCTGGAGACTGAGGAAATCACAGCACTTTGTAGGGAAAAGCCCTTATTTACCCAGAGGAGTTTTGGATTAACTATCAGCTCTAAGATGGAACTGAACTTCCCGCATCTAGCACAACCCTGACAGCGCTGAACAGCACCTGTACTGCTGGAGTTCATGGGAAATACTCCAACCAGAGCTTCCCATCCAAATCAGTTACTTGTCTGCACAGAACAATGCTCCCTCCCCTAAATTCTGTTTCAGAACAGAACCTCATCCAATAGGAAAGCCGATCTCAGTAGCCACTGCACCACTAGCCACCTGCCCTATGATTCCTTGGATGACTTTTGGCCCAACAGTAGCCACTGACTCCTTTTTACTAATAGGCTGCTTAAGTGACTGTGGTGGACATCTCTTGTCTTTGTCCAAAACCACTACCTCCCAACCTTGTGTTTTTTCTTCTGACTCTGATTATATCAGATATGAACACACGACCTCAGTCAGCCAAACACGGTCCTTTTCTGTGACCCTGGTGCCAGCAGCAGGAACGCCCAGCTTTTTATGTGTCACATTGCCTTTCTGGAAGTACAAACCTGAGGTCAGTCCTTGGTCTCAAAGAAAACAATGGAGCCGAGACCGGTTTGGCTCAATGGATAGAGCATCGGCTTGGGGACTGAAGGGACCTGGGTTCGATTCCGGTTAAGGGCATGTACCTTGGTTTCGGGCATATCCCCAGTAGGGGGTGTGCAAGAGGCAGCTGATCGATGACTCTCTCTCATCGATATTTCTAGCTTTCTATCTCTCTCCCTTCCTCTCTGTACAAAATCAATAAAATATATATAGATAAAAAATAAACCAAAAAAGACAAAAACAGAAAATGCGGGGAAATTTATTAAAAAAAAAAAAAAAAAGAAAAAGAAAGAAAAGAAAACAATAGAGAGAATGACCCCCAGAGAGAAGCCAGAGGGAACCTCACAGGGCCCCGGTTCCTGGGGCTGGGCCACCTCTGTCTGTACAGGAACCAGTGATTTCTCTTAAGGGTGAAGCTGTTTGAGCTGAACTGTCACAACTTCCATCTTTCCAAAGGTTGGGTGCTCTGGGCTCCTGCACTGAAGCAGCAGCAGGTGAGGCCTCTGATCACTGCCTTTTTGAAGTTTTCATCTTTTTGACATTCCAGAAGTCTAGACTCTATGTTTCCCAGCAGGTTCAACTATTCTGGATTTTCCCAATAATATTTTAGGTTTACCATCATACTTTGAAATTCCAAAGTTGCATATATTTTCTACATTAGCAAAAACTAGGTTCATACCTGGAAGGCCAAAAGTCACAGCAGCCAAGGAAAGAAAACAAAAAGGAGTAGAACAAAGGAAGATTGTTATTAATTGAAACCCTTACAACATTCAATTGACATGGTGACTATTCCTGCCAGTTTACTCTGTGCAGAGTTCTGCGCTCGATTTTCTCCTTTGCAACCCTCAAAACAGCCTATATGTTGTACCAAGCCTGGTCTGCAAATCTCAGAATATAGGGTTCAGGGTCCCAGGAATTCTGAGGGTAGTTAAGTTTCTAGGGGAGGCTGTGCCCAGGCCAGAGGCTGAATAACCACAACCGAGAGGAAACCTGGTTCAGAACGTTCAAAGAGCCTGCTTCAGCGCTGGACGCCTTCCAGTGATCTCAGTAGGTCTGACAGAGGAGTGAACTGAAGGGTGGACCTGAATGCAGAGGCAAGTTAGGAAGTCCCAACTTTACACAAAGGTTAATTTCAGAGCCTAAGGAAAACCAATCGGCTTCCACTGAATATTTGCAAAACTAGCCCTTACTGAGCCTGTGGCGGGCAAAGTTCCAAAAAAGAGCCCTGTTATACAGATGCGGAAACGGAGTCAGACCTTAACTTGGGGCCGCTGACAGGGGCAGGCAGGACCTGGAGACCAGGATTCCCCAGTAAAGGTGGAGGCCGAGGGGAAGGGAGTGTGTCTGCTTTCTGGCACCGGAGCTGAAGCAGCCCGCGGAGGTGGGGCGCGAGGGGACCCACCCATGACTCTTCATAAGCTGTTCCGGTTCTGGCGAGGCGCGCCCACCGGGGATGCTGAGTCACGGTGACTGACCGAGGCCGAGCGCCCCACGCCTCCTCGGGCCTCCGCGCAGCGCCGGGCGCAGCTCCCGCTCTCGCGATGGGCGCTGTGCGCGTGTCTACCCGCAGGGAAGGCGGAAGGAGGACAGGGCGGGGGGCGGGGAGCCGAGGGGGAGCACACGCGGCGGCGTGTGGGCTCGCACGTCCGGGGTGCGTATGTGTGCGCATGTCCCCGCGCCGAGTTGGGGGCGGGGAATGCAGAGGGGCGTCGCCGCACGTTTGGGATGGACTCGCGCGCATGTGCGCATCCTCTGCGTGGGGATGGGGTGCGCCTGCGCACGCGGGAGTGGGAGGGGGCGCAGGCGCCCTGGGGGGCGGGGCAAGCTTGTCCTGCGTAGGCGTGACGCTTGGGGATGTCGTCCCGGTTTTCCGTGTGAATCCATTGTTAGGTATATTAACAAAATTTCTCCAGGAGAATAGAAAGTTCTGTACTTAGTAAAAGGCTACTCAGTCCTATCCACAGTTCCTAGTATTATATCAGTCCCTCCTTGCGGTGGAAGAACAAACTCTGGTCACCACGTACTTCAGTCCTAAATGAGAGGCGATTTCATTTTAAGTCTGGTTCTATGTTTTTGCTCTATATTAGAAGTTTGCCTCTGGCCCCAGCAACAGCTCCTTCCGCTGGCTCGCGTGGAGCTGCTTCCCGCGGTTCTGTACCGGGACATGTGGCCATGAATGAGTTGCTCCTTCCTACCATGAAGCCCTGGTCCTAGTGAGAAACAAACTCAAACACACGATTCCAAGGGAGCACTAATTGCTGTCCTGAGAAACAAAGCCGGGTGGCCGAAACCGGTTTGGCTCAGTGGTAGAGCGTTGGTCTGCGGACTGAAAGGTCCCAGGTTCAATTCCGGTTAGGGGCATGTACATTGGTTGCGGGCACATCCCCGGTAGGGGGTGTGCAAGGGGCAGCTGGTCGATGTTTCTCATCGACTTTTCTAGCTCTCTCTCTCTCTCCCTTCCTCTCTGTAAAAATCAATAAAATATAAAAACAAAAACACGGCCTGGCCCAGAACTGATGGAGAGGCCCTGAGCAGGCGCAGTCCCAGGAGCACAGGAAAGCTGATGTTGAGGTAGCTGGGGTTAAGGAAAACACAGAGGCCAGAGAGCGCAAAGGAGATGTGAGAACCTGGGAGAATTTAAATGTGGGTAAATATACACTGACAGGACTTCCTGAATGAAAAGACTAAAGACTGTCTTCTAGGCCATTTCCAGTCCCTTCACAGACATTCAGAAGCCTGGGTGCAGCTCCCCTACCCCGCTGGAATCATAAGGCCAGCTATGTGTTACTTCCAGGAGCTTGCCCCTGATGGTTCCTATGGTTGGGAGCATGCTGACCAGGTACAGTGCTTTTCGGCAGTCGAAGAGCTATTTCCTCCACATCTCCAGATCACAACAGGGGCCACACAGTGCAGAAGGCCATCCCCTCCAAGGGTTAGCATTTGGCATTTCGGCTACATCCTGGAGCTGGATGCCACACCCAGGATACCCCAGGTGAGAAGGGAGTATCCAGGCCGGTTTGTATGCTTCACATCTCTCAACGGGGTTGGGGCCCCAAGGGCCCTCTGGGGACTCAGATGTAACTTCTGTTCTGCTTCCATCACCACCCATCCAGCACAGAAGCCAGGGCTGTATGAACCCCCTATCTCCACAATTGCTCATCAGGTCAGTGTTAATACCTGGTACTCGTGTTAAATAGGAACACACTTGGATAAGTGTTTTTCGAGCTAGCTTTTAA